TCCCGCCATCGTCTCCGTCATCGACCCCCTCCGACCTCGAGGTGAGACCAGCCAAATCTCCATGTCAATATGAGTCCTATAAGATATTTTGAAATGTTTTTGTTCATATTTTCAACCATTGAAATGCAATGACCATCAAGTTTGAATGCTCATATGATGTAGATATAAACATGTATATCTTGTGTTGCTCAAATAGGATATGTGCTTGCCCAAGTGGCCGGCCATGTTTGCAGGTAACACCTCCGAGTGGCCTATGTTTTGCCAGAGTGTTGATTAATTTCTGTTCTGGCAAATTCCAGGCGCTCGATATGTCCTTTTTTAGCAAAGGTCATGCCGGATATTTTCGTGAATTTTGGCATGACTTGTGCTAGAATATGTAGGAAATATTGAGTGGCCTGGATTTTCTAGAAAGATAATTAAACAACATTTCAGGTTGACTTTAAGTCTGTCGAGACTCCACCATATATGAGAGAACAAGAATGCCGACTATTGTCGTGGAGGTCGCTTCTCCTTCGTTCCCGTGTGCTAGAAATTTTGGTTTAATGCACTCGGGGATGAAGGGAGGAGCGACCATCACCAATGGTCGAATATATACACCACGTGAGTTGTGACTTGATGGACCGATAGTCAACCCGTGATGAATAATAATGATCTAATTTAGTTTTTGTAGTACATACATTGAATTTTATAAGTTTAATCTTTGAATTATGAACCTAGGAAATGTCGTCGGAGGAGGACGAAAGTCTCCCAGCGGAGTGCGACTGGTGCGGCGACGACCGGGGTCTGTGCGACAGGCCTCACCTGGTAGAAGGTCAGCGCTTCAGCATTAAGATTTAGGAGACCTTCGTTGTTGAAACGGTACACAACGATGACAAGTGTTTTTTCGTAATTAAGCACGACTTCTGCTTCTTTAACATGTATTTTTCGTCTTTTACAATTCGACTATAGCTTATCCCATGGAAGTATGGAAACAAAGATAGTTCAGCGGAGGACCCATCATGGATATGATTTTGCTGTAACTCTATACAATTCTGATAGTGTATCCCATTTTGGTTGCCCGAATTGGGAAGCACTTTGCAAGACGTATGAGTTTCATGAGGGTATGCTTGTCACCATGGATCTTGGTGATCCTGACATCGACGAAGACAATATGGACATTTGGGTCCTTGTTGATACACTTCCAACTTACCGCTATGTGAATTTCTCAAACATAGTTATTAAGTAATTTATATTGTTTATTTCAAAATAGTTGACAGCTTATTTCCATTGATAGCTTATTTTCATTCTTCAAAGAATGTGCGGAAGATGGTAGACAGAACCTACTACACCGATGGCGCAAAATTAACTTATCAGGAGAAAAATCATCTGATCTCATTTATTAATGATCTTGAGAATTACAATATCTATTATCAAACTCGTGCACATTATGGTTAACACGTGCCACTAGTGCACGTATTGAACTACGGTAACATCCATGGAGATGGCATGGTAAGATTTTTTACTATTACGACATCCGTGCATCTTTTGCATAAATTCTTTTAAAATAAACTACATTGCTAACTACGAGGTTATTACTATGTTTTTCAACAGAAAATCCCGAAGGATTGTGTGCCTCATCTGATGTTTCCGAAAGGTCGCCTTGATGTTATGAGCTTACGACCAGGTCATCCTACGCATCACTGTTGTTCATACCGGATTTCTAAAACCGATGAAGACATGACAATCAAATATTAGAAAAAATGTATGGTCAATCGTAAGGAGCTACTTGGAAGCAACATTGTGCGAAGGGCAAAAATTGGAGACAGGATAATCTCCATTCTCCATAATGGAGAGTCAGGGCCTATCTTGTTTTATGCTATTTTACCTAAGAGAGGGTAGTAGGTCCTATGAGAGAGGAGTAGATCCTATGTTATATGTGTTATTATGTGCTACAATGTGTCAAGTTGATGATGATGATGAGGAGGAGTTGTGATTATGACTAGTGACCAACTTGCTATATGATGTCTCACTGACGAAAATGATGATCATGAGGAGTTGTTATATGACAATGATGTATTATGATGATAAGTTGTTAAATGACATGATGATGATGATTTATTATATCATTAGATGAAAGAACCGCGGATTAGTTTCAAGTGGATGGATCCATCCACTTGAAATAATCCACGGTTCTTTCACCCAGGGACGTAATAACTCATTATGATGTAAAAACAATCTCTAAATTGCTATTGTATGAAAACATAGATAATGGTGTATGAATGCGACATAAAATGAAAAAGAAATAGAATACGCAATAGTAGTAGTAGCGCGGGCACAGAGGCGCGCTGCTAGTATTTACCAGTAGCGCTTCCTACGAAACGCGCTGCTACTAAGTGCGTATAGTAGTAGCGTGTCTAGACCAGCGCTACTGCAAACCTTTAGCTGTAGCGCCATATCAGTAGCGCGGCACCCCGCGCTACTGATAGGCCAAAAACCAGCACTACTGCTAGGCTTTTCCCTAGTAGTATCAATCACCACACTCTTCTTCTTCGAAGCATGAAAAGTCTCTCTAGTTTTCCACTTCTCCTCGTCCTTGAGCTCAACAATGATGAAAAGTAAAAGATTTTCCTTTCCTTGTCTTATTCTCGCCTTTCATGTTCCTCTCTCGAAACAATCCTTGGGCAATCATTTTCTACAATAAAACAACCAACACGTCATCATCGAATGTGGAACAATCTAATATTTGAAAAAACACGCATGAAGACGAAATATTTACCAAGTCACTATCACCGCAACCACTTGGGTTCATGCGAGCAACATTTGACAAGCAACTGGCCCACTTTTGGCATTCGGCGTTGATGGTGGACCAACGTTGGCGAAGAGAGTCGCTCGAACGGAAGTGACCACTTAGTGTTGCGCTCATCAAAGTAATCCTTGATGCGTTGCCAATAGGTGTTTACCGTTTGATCGCTTCCAACGGATGCATCTTGAGAGACTTTCTTCCATGCGGTACATATCAACACATCCTCTGTATTGGTATAATTTCCACTTCTTCCCTTCGCAACAAAACCCTCATCGTCCATGTCAAGATTGTCATCACCATGTTGGGTTTCAGGTGGCACGGACTGATACAGGACCGTGTTGGATGGCTTTTGCGGTCCGGATGGATGCAGGCAGTTTGCGGGTCGCTGTTGGAGATGCCCTTATCCCCCGCATGTCCGGACTCCCGCAAAGCCCCCCTCCCCCACATTTGTCTCCATTTTGCGGGAGTCCGGACACGCGAAACGTTGCTCTCTGCCCCCTAGCCCACCCAAAAGGAAGGCAAAGCCCACGTTTTTGGAGTGTCCCGCATTGTTTCCGCGCGAAAACCCCCCACTCTCTTTTTCCATCCCCCACCGCTCTCTGCCCAATTCCTGCTCTTTTCTCCCAGCCTCTCATTCCTTCTGTCACCGACGCATCGAACTATCGAAGAACCTGTCGGAGATGGAGACGACGGAGGTACCGAAGGATCCGAACATTATGCTCACTCGGAAGACCAACACGGCTACGCGGCAAACTCATCACGTCAAAGCGAAGGCCACAAAGGAGAAGCTCAAGAAGCGGCTGGCCGCCGGTGGGCCTCCGGTGGGCCTGGTGGTGGCGTTGGGCATGGAGGATCGTGGCGGAGGAGGGGGTTGTGGCGGCCGCTGCCAGACGGGCGCACCCACAGTACATATGACGCCGTTGCCGGAGCCTTACAAGCCTCCGTACTACCACACCAGCAAGCAGCTCGGAACCCCCGCTGGTACGGTGCCTTACATCGTCGACGTTAATGCAACGCTACTCTTCTTCGAGTATTCTTCGTCGCAGCTTGTCCGGGCATGGACGACGGGCGGGGGGGGGGGAATGGGTGCCCGCAAATTGTTACAATGCCTAGAGCGGGGGAGCCGACGTATGACGACACGGACAGGGAGATGCTTGACATCATCCATGACGGAGGCAAGGGAGGAGGATGGGGCTATGAGGATAAGCAGGTGGAAGACTCAGATCCCACCCAGTCTGGCAACTGCCAGCAGTATCCTACACCCAAACGACCACGCAACAGTCCTACACCCAGACCGGCGATGGCACACAACAACGACAACATTGGGCCGCCGGAGAGTAGCAGCTAGAGGGGGGAGTAGGAGGACAGCGAGGACGATGATCTGGATGATACAACCGGCGATCCGAATAAGAAGGACATAGGAGAAAGCTTCAACATGCAAGAAGACAAACTGTTGTGCGATGCATGGTTGGCCACTAACATTGATCCGATCCATGGCACGGAGCAAAAGGGCACAACCTTTTGGAGGAACATTCACATATGTTTTCATGAACACAAGCATTTCACGCCCTACTCTGCCGCGATCATCCACAACCGTGAATGGAAGTCCCTCAACCATCTATTGTACGCCATCCAAGAGGTCGTGTCCAAGTATTGCAGACACTTGAAGCATCTCATCACATGGTGTCCTAGCGGTGCACAAATCACCGAGCAAGTAAGTTGACCACTAGCCGGATATGCTTAGTTTTGTTGATCACTAGTTGGACATGTATTGTTTTATTGCTCACAAGATGGATATGCATCGTCGACAATGTTTCACTTTGTAGCCTACCCGTGCTTGTGTGGTGTATAAGAAGTTGGAGAAGGAGCCCTTCACCGTCATGCATTATTGGTTGAAGTTCAATAGGCAACCGAAGTGGAACCTTTTCATAGTCAAGACCGCCGCCCAAGCTAACGAGGAAGAAACCGGTGACCCTACTGACCCAACCCAAGAACCTCTAAGAAGGTTAGAAGATTTTTTACGGGGGAAGAAGTGGAAGGAGGAGAGGGCGAAGCTAGAAGGTGCGGCGGCAGGGATGACGGAGTGGTTCGAGGTCATCTTGGCGAAGAAGGAGAGGCATGTGTGAAGTGCTCGGACATCAAGGAGGAGAAGGTGAAGAGGTTCAAACTGTTGATGGAGGCGACGGGCAAGTAGCTCAAGCTTGAAGAGAGGAGGACCATGGCCGAAGAAAGGAAGGCCTCGCTCAAGAAAAAGAAGGTGAAGATCACCGCCAATGCGGAGGAGACCAAGATGTTGACCTTAAATGTGGACTCTTTGGATGCCGACACAATAATCATCGTGCAATCCGTTCGCCACCAGATGTTGCAGAAAGATCAGTTGGCGGCGTCGGACGCCGAGGACGCGGAGGCTGCCTACACGGCGGCGACAACACCTTGATCGGGGAGTAGACGATTGGGATTGCCGGTCCGGCAAGGCAGAAATGCACAGACTGCCAAACTAATGTTCTTTTGGATCCGGCCATGTAAAAATTAAGCATACTCGACTCTTTTGGTTGTGATCGGATATACGATCCGGCGCTGGCGTGGTCTGACGTGCTGTGTGGATCAGGATACATTTAAATTTGAATTTACCGACGAATATATACATGATAGCGTTGAATGGTGACCTTCCGCGTCCGTGCCCGTTGACTGATCCTTCTGTCTGCAGGCAGATGCAAAAACAAATTTACAGGTCCATGCTGAAGATGCCCTAGCAATGGGAAGGGAAATCCCAAATCTAGGTCGCTCGTGGAGTCCATATCGTTTCAGCTACGGCCATACAGTGGCACGCCAAAATGAAAATGTCGATTTATTTTGAACTGAAAATTTTGTTGGTCTTTGCGGTAAGATATGACCGACCGTGGTAAAAAAAACCAAAGCAACTCGTGCGTCACCACTTACCACGATCCATACTCCCTCCGGTCCTTTTTACTCTGCATATTAGGTTTGTCTGAAGTCAATCTCATCCAACTTTGACCAAGTTTATATAAAAAATTATTGACATTTACATAACAACACCAATATCATTAGATTCATCTCGGAATATATTTTCATATTATATTTATTAGATATTATAGATGCTAATAATTTCTAATATAAATTTGGTTAAACTTAGCTAAGTTTAACTTTCGGCAAATCCAATATGCAGAATAAAAAGGACCGGAGGGAGTACAGTTTTGATGTTTCAAACAAACAAAAGACGCGCACGTGACAGCAGCATGGCACGGGACTCCACGGATGAACCCTGAGCATGGTTTAGCAGAGCACTCACAGTACATCGGACTGTTTTTTACCGCAAGCCCACACGGTGGCGAGCACGAGCCGACCTGCCACAGATCCTGGCTTTTCTGAGCCCTTTCCTCGGTGCGCCCCCGACGAGCTCCCCCCAACGGTCAAAAAATTAACTCCGGCGCGGCCACCGAAACAAACAAGATTTCATCAAACAATTTGAACGGCCAGCCAATGCCGTGCTACCGCAGCAGCGGCACAAGGCCCGCACCACCCGCGCCTCCCTACCACGCATTCACCCGTTCCACCGTAGACCAACGCGAACCTCCACATCCAGACCCACCACACAGCGAGACACGGTCCACCGGACCGGGTCTATGCAAACAAAGACGGGTAGGTTCGTGCCGTCCCCTCACTCTGCAAACCGCAGGGATCGAGGCAGCAGCAGCCTCCCGTTTCCCGGGCCACTTTCCCGAACCCACCGCGACCCACCGAGATTTACCGTCCGGTATGCGGGGCCCGCACCCCGACGGGCCCAGATGTCAGTTGCCGATTACCACGATCTCGTGGGTCAAGCCACCTCTCCGTATTTTGAAACTTTGAACGGCCGCCCGCAACGCGCGAATTTACCGGGGTGCCCCTCGTGGCAGAGACGGGCAAATCGAGGGGGGCTTGCCGCTGGTGGCAGTTCCGTGAATCTCCCTCCCCACCAGGGGCTTGGAGTTTCTCTGCCCCCTCTCATTTTCCCGCCTGAAACCCTCGCTGTCGGCCCCACGACCCACGCCTCCCAACTGTGCAGACCGGTTCCCCCGTGGACCAACGCGAAACCTACAGCGCGGCCCCACCGCTCAGCGAGCAGAGTCCACCGGACCGGGTGTATGTATAACAGATCGGCCGTACCACCCCACTCTGCAGGGTTCAGGAGCCCGTGCCCCCATTCCCCGGGCCAACTTCCCGAATCACCGCAACCTCCTAAACACTCCTCACCGACATGTGGGGTCGCACCATCTGGTGGACCCTAAAGTCAGTGAGCGGTTCTGGCACCGTGCGCGGTGCGTGTATATAGGCGAGCGAGGACCCCAACCCTTCTCCCCCTCAGTAAAAACACGCACAGAACCCTGCCGAAGCCCTCTTCCTCCGTCGTCGCCGCCGCCACTCCCCCCCTCCTCGACCACCGCCACTCGCCGCCGACTCCGCCGCAGCAGGGGCTGCTGCATGACGCCTCGGCCCCACCGACAGTCGGCGACGTCCGCGCCTGTCGCCGCCGGGGCCGAGATGGTGGTCGCCGTGGCGAATGGGGCGAAGAGGGAGGCAGCCGCCGCCGCCAACACCACCGCTGCCGCTGCCGCCGACGCCGACGCAGATTCTCCCATCTCCGTCCTGGAGGAAGAGGTGATTCGCTATTAAAACCTTCCGATTTAATACAGATGTCTAGGTGCATTCCGTTTCCTATTTCCCCCTTTTTTTTCCTGTTGAAAAAAACATTTCCTTTCATTTTCTTGATGCGATTTGTGTATCTTGGTCGTTGAGGTTCTCCATCCTTTAGTCTGAATCTGGTTATTTTGTGGTAAACTAGAAAATGGCCGGATCCAAGGATGGGAAAGCGGGCGAGCTCAAGGCCAACGGCGGCGAGGCGCACCCCATTGCGGAGGCGCTGAAGGCTGAAGAACAGCTACTGAACTCCGTCAAAGACGAGACATCGGTTGAGCATCTGGGTGCGACTTCACCTCTGCCTATTGACCTCGCTGCCAAGAACGGCGATGTATCTCTCATCACAGAGGTGATGGCGAAGGAGGAAGAGGAGATGTATCAGGCCCGGATTAAGCTAGAGGAAGAAGAGGAGGCCCGGAAGAGAGAAGAGGCCGCAAGGCAGGCCTTTGACCCGAAGGCAAAGTTCAGCAAGTTGGATGAACTGCTGACGCAGACACAGCTCTATTCTGAATTTCTCCTTGAGAAGATGGAGCAGATCACAGATGTACGCGTCTCCCACTCGCTGATGACCATTTTAGGTTTCTTGCTAGTTATTTCCCCTTCTTTGCTAACAGTGGTGGTGTGGCCTGTAGGTTAAGCCGACTGCTGTTGAAATTAAAGATGAAGAGGAACCAGTGGAAGAGCAAAAGAAAGGACGGGGCAGGAAGAGGAAAGCGGAGAACTCTAAGCCACAGTACAATGACGTGAGTTCAGACTTCATATATTACCATCCTCTGCTTCATAGATACTTTGGTTGTCTTCTAGATTATGCAGATGTCTTGCTTGTCATATACTATCGCTTACTGCAGTATGATGTGTAGTCTGGATTGCCTGTTCAATGGATTTAAGATTTTTAAAAAGGCGTGTTGCTGCTTGAATGATTCTAGATGGGGGGAGCTTGATTTCATAATGTCCATCCATCAAAAATTCCTGACTTCCTTTCCTTTAGCAGCATCATTCTTAATAAAAGCTCACAAATCTTAGTCAAAAGGGCTATTCAAGATTTGTTGCAGCATAGCTAGACCTGTTTACACATTAGAATAATGTTTTAAGGTTTAAATTACTTTGACATGGACTTGTTCATCTCAGTTGAAATAACATTTTTAATATTTTCCTGGAGATGACACAACATTCTGAGTGGATAACCTGCTCTATCGGTAGTTAGAAGAATATATAGGAAAAGCAATCCATGTTCATCGATTAGACCTTATGTTGTGTTTGACTACTGAAAATGAAACATTGTTCAGAAGAAGGCTAAAACGGCAGTGGTAGCCATGCTTTCAAGATCTCGCGAAGATCGCTCTGCTGATGATGGCACTCTCACGGAAGAAGAAAAGTGGGAAAGAGAGCAAGCCAACCTTGTTCCATTGTTGACTGGGGGAAAGTTGAAATCTTACCAGATAAAGGGTGTTAAGTGGCTAATATCACTGTGGCAAAATGGGCTTAATGGGATACTGGCTGATCAAATGGGCCTTGGCAAAACAATCCAGACAATTGCATTTCTTGCTCATCTTAAAGGGAATGGCCTGCATGGTCCATACATGGTTATTGCTCCCCTTTCCACCCTGTCAAACTGGTTGAACGAGCTAACGAGGTAAAGCATCCAGAGTTGTGATTCACTGTGCTTAGTCTGCTTGCTATCTTATGTGGAACACTTGATTTCAGGTTTGCTCCATCTATAAATGGTCTGATTTATCATGGAGATAAAGTGGCTCGGACAGAGCTAAGGAGAAAACACATGCCCAAAACTGTTGGTCCTGATTTTCCAATAATAATCACTTCATATGAGATGGCCATGTTTGATGCAAAGTTTCTTGCTAATTATAAGTGGAAGTATGTTGTTGTAGATGAGGTAACGGAATAGCACATGAGCTGAATTATTGTCCTTGTATATTGTTCTCTCTTCCACATGTATTTATGTGTTGGCCGGATTCTTTTTTCCAGGGGCATCGTTTGAAAAATACGAAGTGCAAATTACTGAGGGAGTTGAGGCGCATCCCAATGGATAACAAGCTCCTTTTGACTGGAACACCTCTTCAGAATAATCTAGCAGAGCTGTGGTCTCTATTGAACTTCATTTTGCCTGATATATTCTCATCCCATGAGGAATTTGAGTCATGGTATGATCCATTGCCTACCATTTACTCTGCAATTTCTGTATGTGCCATTTTTATTCATTAGTCTTTGTATCCTTGAATTACTTTTGTTTCCCATTAACTGATTGCTGTCTCTTGGCCTTTTGTTTGCCTTTTGTAGTTTTATTGTTGTAATTATACAAGTTACCTGGATTATCCAATATAACATTTGTCTAGCCTGGCAGTCAATAAATATAAGTATCTAACTGCACATATATCTCATTTGCCAGGATTCTTGGAAGTACCAATGTTTGGTCCTTACATATAGTGGTTCAACCAATGCAAACGAAACTGTTGAATTTAATTAGTTGAGATATCAGTTTCCCAGTATAAGCTAAATTGTAGTAACCTGGCAGGGGCACTGCCCATTTATTAAGAAGAATTTATGGGGCTGTTTGGTTCTAGGCCTAACCATGCCACACTTTGCCATACAATGTTGCCACACTTGCCTATGGTTAGTTCTTCAAAATGAGAGCCACAAGTTGGCAAGCCTAAGGGAATCTTGCCACACTTTTTGAGTGTATGTGATGCGGGACCCTAGTGTGGCTTGAACCAAACACCCATC